ACTGGTTAACGACATCTCACCAACCAGCCGTCAAAGATCCCTCACACTGATCTTTGATTGGCTGATAGTCAGCCTGTGACCCAGCGTGTAGAATGAGTTCGACCTGATCGCTGCTCTCGAGTACGCAGCTCTGCCATGGCCCGCTTAATCACCTTTCAAACCGGCGGTGACACACAGGAAACTGCCACAGGTGTGGCAGGTCGAATCCTCCTCTGATCAGAGTGACTCAGCTGGGAGTAACATCCCACTCCTCCGACAGACGGGAATGTTGGATTTAAAACCTCCTGTAACCTTTGACCTCTGGTGTTGTTTATCAGCTTTGTAGCAGAGCTGAGTTACAGCGCTGTCATTGCTGTACTTTCACTGGTTAGAAATGCAACTTCCTGTTTCTTCACAGGAAGTCAGCAGCCTGTCAGGGGCTCTGCACTCTGGTCCTCACTCCCCCTACAGGCTAGAGATCAGCGGTGCATGGAGCCAGTTCCACACCTGTGAGCTGGTATCTGTGTCCCTACACAATAAAAGCCTTTTACGTTTCCAGGCCTCCTCAGAACATCTGGACTCATCAACATTTTTATTCTTCCTGCACCTTTAATCTTCTTCCAGGACCATAAAACATCTGCTAACAGCTGTTTGTGTCTCATGTGATCATTAAAAATCAGAATCAAATCCTATGAAGTGAGTCCAGCTGTGTGGTTTGGGGGGGGGTTCGGTGCTGTGGGGTCTGTCTCAAACTGTTGGTTTGATCTTTTCAGAGGCGAACCCCGAGAAGTTTAACAGCCGCTTCAGGAACAAGATGTTCTACGCAGGGGTGAGTGCGTCCTCGTGCGGCTGCTGCGCTGCTCGTCCACACGTGAACATGTTTCTAATGTGCGTGCGTGTGTGTTTCAGACCGCCTTCTCAGACTTCCTGAGCGGGAGCTCCAAAGACCTCGCCAAGCACATCAGAGTGGTGGTGAGTCGCTTAAACACACGTGTGACTGAGCGTCGTTAGAGGTGAGGGAGCCCGATGATGCCTGCACCCGCAGCCTGACCCAGCAACGTGTGGAAGTTGTACTTTGGCTTCATGCATGGATAAAGATGGCTGCAGCCGCACTAACATCATGTGGCGTTTGAATCTTGAGTTTCTGGGTTTTTGGAGCGACACATGACGACATTTGAACGAGAGAGTTGAGCCTCTGCAGCTCAGGCTGCGGCAGGAAGCTCGTGGAGCAGCTTCCTCGTATAAATCCTTGTTTCCTTCCTCCTCAGTGTGACGGGACGGACCTCACAGCCAAAGTCCAGGACCTGAAGCTGCAGTGTCTGCTCTTCCTCAACATCCCCAGGTACATCTTCAGCCTGCTAACAAACATCTTGCACATGCACGCTGTCACGGTGGAATCCGGCGAGTAGATAAACAGGAAATGCTGCGTTAAAGTACGAGCGCGCTCGGTTTGTCTGCCTGCTGCAGGTACTGTGCTGGCACCACGCCGTGGGGGAACCCCAGCGAACATCAGGACTTTGAGCCTCAGCGGCATGACGACGGCTGTATCGAGGTCATCGGCTTCACCATGACGTCTCTGGTGAGCTTGCAGCCGCAGACGGCGTCACCTACAAACACCACATCAGACCACACCCATCACAGACACACGCTTACTATAAACGCTCGTTTGGTCCAGTTCAAGCTTTGCTCCTTTGTCTGCAGGCCACCCTCCAGGTGGGCGGTCATGGCGAACGCCTCCACCAGTGTAAGGAAGTGACCCTCACCACCTTTAAGTCCATCCCCATGCAGGTGGACGGCGAGCCCTGCAAGCTGGCGCCGTCCGTCATTCACATCAGTCTGAGGAACCAGGCCAACATGGTCCAGAAGGCCAAGAGGAGGATCTCCATGCCCCATCTCAACGAGTACGTCTGCTGTGCGCACTGACCCACCTCTCATTGGTCGCTCAGTAGATTCCTTTGCTCTCATTGGCAGTCGCAGTAACAGGAAGTACTGAGCAGACGGTCATAGCTGCTGTTAGCGATGGCGTCCCACAGGGCTCGCTTCTATTCACGCTGTAGATAAACACCATCAGATGATGCAGATGATGCAGTCTGTACGTGCAAGCGGCTTAAATGAATCAGATGTTCATGTTCGTGACTAAACGATGGCGTGTTTGTGTGCAGCCAGCAGCCCGTTCCAGAGAAGCTGCAGATCAGGGTGAACCGCATCAGCATGGCGGCGTACGAGGCGCTGCACTACGACAAAGATCAGCTGAAGGAGGCGTGTAAGTGTGAAGGTTACCTGTAGCAGCAGTGCTTTCAGTCAAACGCATGTTTACTGGGTGTTTGGGGCACGTCGCACTGGGAACCTGCTGGTTCAGTCCTCAAACCAGTTACTGTTGATGGTCTGTGCCTCAGTGTTTCCACTATCATGAGTCATTTGTTGTTATTTAGAAACCAAGCTGCACGTTTCTCACTCTGACCTTTATGTTTCCTGGAGCTCTGCCGCTGGGAGTCATCACCGTCCCCGGAGACAGCGACCTGGAGACCTGCCGCCTGCACATCGACCGTCTGCAGGACAACCTGGAGCAGGTACAGCGCTGTGGGCGGGAGTAATCATTAATCTGCTGATTCATGTTTAAAGAGTGACACAGACACCTGCTTTTATATGAGAGTATAACAGCTGACGTCTGATTGTGACGTGTTGGCCATTTAAAAATGAGACGACCTGACGCTCTGACTGCGATCGTTGGGACAGGTCACCTGTGAAATCACCATCAGAGGCTGGGGGGGTTCACTCCTGCCTCTACGTGCAACTGTTTGCCAAAAGCAAAAAAACTGCAGGTCCTTCCTCCGTCGTACTTCCTGTGGTGCAAGCGTCGGGCTGCTCTCAGAGGGCGAAACGTGTCACGGCGTGACACATCAGACACTGATAGCGAGGAGCATCAGGGCGCGGTGTAAGGGGAAGTGGCTGACTGTGTTTGTAATAAACCTCAGCTGTGACCCAACACCAACCGAGAAAAGCTGCACAGACGAACAGCAGCTCGCCGTCCTGCAGCGCGAGTGCGCCATCTGTCGGGAGAGGCGGGGCTCTCTTATTTGATCACATGTAGACAGTTTCCTCTGCTCCTCCCGTGAAATGTAAAAGTGCGTCTGCGGCTCTGTGCGGCGCTGCCTCTCACGCTTCTCTTTCTGCTCCTCCAGGACGGCGAGGCGCTGAAAGGCGAGAGTCTGTCCTCGCACAAGCTCTCCATGAAGTGGTGCTTCCTCGACTGTAAGTCCGAGCCGACCTCCTGCGTTCGCGCACAGACCCCGACCTGCACAAACGCTCTCTTTGTCTTTCAGGCACGACGGCGGATCGTTTCTACAGGATCGACCGGGCTCAGGTAAACGCAGCAGAGAAGCACCTTTACTGTGTCTGAGTGCGTCCACGGGTGATGGATGCAGGCGGGAATCGAGCCGCCGGCCTTCAGATTAGCAGACTACCTGCTGATTGGTGCAGCTTTCTCTCTGCTGGCAGTGATGATCGATGACCTGCAGCCAGGTGTGTCCTGATGTTTGTTTCAGGAGCACCTGAACTACGTGACGGAGATCTCTCAGGAGGAGCTCTACATCCTGGACCCGGAGCTGGTCTCCAAGGAGACGGTGGGCACCTCCCCCAGCATGCCCGACCTGGTGGACTCGGAGGAGCATCAAGACCAGCAGTTCGCCTTCCCCTGCTCGCCGCCCTCCCCCACCTCCCCTACCTCGTCACACAGGTGAGAGAAGACGTGTGTTTACCTTAACTCGCTGCTGCCTCTGCTGGATGTCAGAGGAACTGCAGCTGTTCGCCCTGAAATAAGCTCCTGGTGTTTGAAGTGCCGTTTCCATGGAGCTGCTCATCGCTCTGCTCCCCGCTGGGACGCCGCCGCCACTTGAATCACGATCAGAAATCGATCATGGGGGCAGGAATAAAAACAGCGCTGTGTTTGTTTCAGATCCCGAGATCAGAGGAAGAGGATCTCCAGCGACAGCTCCGTGGTCGATGCTTTGACTCAGAGCTCCTCGAAGACCGCCCTCTGCAGGTAGCAACACGCACTCGCACACCTGCTGCTGGAGGAAGTGATCAGATCCTGTAGAGTCAGCTGATACTCGCTCAGTGAAGTCTGTGTGATATCTGTAAACACAAATAACAGGAATGAGCAGTTTAAATATGAAGACTTCCATGAGAGCGCCCCCTGCTGGCTCCACCACTGTGCCGTCTGCTTTTTTTCACGGCACAGTGCATTAATAACAGACTGTATATAAACGATGGACCTCACCTGCATTAATAACAGACTGTATATAAACGATGGACCTCACCTGCATTAATAACAGACTGTATATAAACGATGGACCTCGCCTGCATTAATAACAGACTGTATATAAACGATGGACGTCGCCTGCAGTCTAAGTGATGTCCAGGAGGGGGCGACTCCTCTGGTCTGTGAGATACTGATCGCTGATCTTTGACTCAGAGCCGAATAGGAGCAGGGGAGGGTTCAGGGCGGGGCTTGAGCCTGCAGTGTCCCTCAGACCTGCGTCCATCTTTTATTAACATTAATACATCGAATTTGTACGTTTTAAATTGGCAACATTTTATCCCCATGAAGGCTTTGATGCTCAGTTTGTGGCAGACTCGTGTGTCCTCGTGTCCACACGCCGGTGCTGTTTGTTTTCCATGTGCTGACTCACCTGTCCATGTTGTCTGTGATCTAAAGGCGAGGAGCAAAGATTATCAATGTGCATCGCTCCAACACGGCCGCGGCTGATTTCAGACCCGTCATTAGGTACGACTCCACCTGCTTCCTGTCTGCTCTTTCTCTGAA